TGGAGGTGCTGGCTGTGCTAGTGGCTGGTGTGGGCACTGCTGGTGTGGGTGTGATGAGGATGGTGGTTGTTCCTTCCGTCTGAGGGGGAGAGGTCCTGGTGGTGGTCACAACAACTGTTGTTCCTTCCTTTGTTGGGCGTGTGGTAGTGGGGACAGCCGTGGTGCCAGCGGTGCTTCCTATTTTTGCTTCAGGAGTTGTGGAAATGGTAGAGGCCGAAGTTGGAGCCTGTGTTCCTGCAGTGGAGGTTTCAACTGGAGCAGTTTTGGCTGAAGGTGTTGCAGTGCTTCCCTCTGTTGTCCTGGAGGTGCTGGCGGTGCTGGTAGCTGGTGTGGGCACTGATGGTGTGGGTGTGATGATGACTGTGGTGCCTTCAGTCTGAGGGGGAGAGGTCCGGGTGGTGGTCACGACGACTGTTGTTCCTTCCTTTGTTGGGCGTGTGGTAGTGGGGACAGCCGTGGTGCCAGCGGTGCTTCCTATTTTTGCTTCGGATGTTGTGGAAATGGTAGAGGCCGAAGTTGGAGCCTGTGTTCCTGCAGTGGAGGTTTCAACTGGAGCAGTTTTGGCTGAAGGTGTTGCAGTGCTTCCCTCTGTTGTCCTGGAGGTGCTGGCGGTGCTGGTAGCTGGTGTGGGCACTGATGGTGTGGGAGTGATGATGACAGTGGTGCCTTCAGTCTGAGGGGGAGAGGTCCTGGTGGTAGTTGCGATGGCTGTTGTTCCTTCCTTTGTTGGGCGTGTGGTAGTGGGGATAGCCGTGGTGCCAGCGGTGCTTCCTATTTTTGCTTCAGGAGTTGTGGAAGCAGTAGTGGCAGAAGTTGGAGCCTGTGTTCCTGCAGTGGAGGTTTCACCTGGAACAGTTTTGGCTGAAGGTGTTGTGGGACTTCCCTCTGTTGTCCTGGAGGTGCTGGCGGTGCTGGTGGCTGGTGTGGGCACTGCTGGTGTGGGTGTGATGAGGATGGTGGTTGTTCCTTCCGTCTGAGGGGGAGAGGTCCGGGTGGTGGTCACGACGACTGTTGTTCCTTCCTTTGTTGGGCGTGTGGTAGTGGGGACAGCCGTGGTGCCAGCAGTGCTTCCTATTTTTGCTTCAGGAGTTGTGGAAATGGTAGAGGCCGAAGTTGGAGCCTGTGTTCCTGCAGTGGAGGTTTCAACTGGAACAGTTTTGGCTGAAGGTGTTGTGGTGGTTCCTGCTGTGGTCCTGGATGTGCTGGCCATGCTGGTGGCTGGAGTAGGCACTGCTGGTGTGGGTGTGATGATGACTGTGGTGCCTTCAGTCTGAGGGGGAGAGGTCCGGGTGGTGGTCACGACGACTGTTGTTCCTTCCTTTGTTGGGCGTGTGGTAGTGGGGACAGCCGTGGTGCCAGCGGTGCTTCCTATTTTTGCTTCAGGAGTTGTGGAAGCAGTAGTGGCAGAAGTTGGAGCCTGTGTTCCTGCAGTGGAGGTTTCAACTGGAACAGTTTTGGCTGAAGGTGTTGCAGTGCTTCCTTCTGTTGTCCTGAATGTGCTGGCAGTGCTAGTGGCTGGTGTGGGCACTGTTGGTGTGGGTGTGATGATGACTGTGGTGCCTTCAGTCTGAGGGGGAGAGGTCCGGGTGGTGGTCACGATGACTGTTGTTCCTTCCTTTGTTGGGCGTGTGGTAGTGGGGACAGCCGTGGTGCCAGCGGTGCTTCCTATTTTTGCTTCAGGAGTTGTGGAAGCAGTAGTGGCAGAAGTTGGAGGTTGTGTTCCTGCAGTGGAGGTTTCACCTGGAACAGTTTTGGCTGAAGGTGTTGCAGTGCTTCCCTCTGTTGTCCTGGAGGTGCTGGCGGTGCTGGTGGCTGGTGTGGGCACTGCTGGTGTGGGTGTGATGAGGATGGTTGTGCCTTCAGTTTGCTGGGCACTGGTCCTCAGTGTACCTGTTGTGGTTTCAGTGGTTGTCATTTCTTTTTGGGGAAGGGATGAGACAGTACTTGTTAATGGTGCAGTTTGGGTTGCTACTGTGGTGGTTTCTGGAGAGTAGTATGTGGTGGAGGCCCTTACTGTGGTCCCTGGAATTGCTGATGTTGTCTGGCAATGTTTACGGTCACAGCACAGCACTGAGACCTCATAGTCAAAGCACATCGGATACTTGACAGTCTGATCCTTA